CGGAGGGGTGTGCCGTGCCGAAACAAAAGGAGTCGGGGCGGAGGGGCGCGCTGGCTGGTGGATGGGGGGAGGCAGAGGGGGGTGTGCCGTGCCGAAATAAAGGGGTCGGGGAGGAGGGGTGTGCCGTGCCGAAATAAAAGGGTCGGGGCGGAGGGGCGCACTGGCTGGTGGGTGCTGGTGGGGGTCGGGGCGGAGGGGTGTGCCGTGCCGAAATAAACGGGTCGGAGGGGCGCACTGGTTGGTGGGTGCTGGTGGGTGGGTGGATGCGGGGGGGGGGGGGGATGGAGGGTCGCGCTGGCTGGTGGAATGTGTAGGTGATGAGGGGTGTGCCGTGCCGAAATATAGTAGTCGGAGCTCTAGACTCCCTGTGCAAGAGAATAATTCGACACTCAAGCGTCCCACGGGTGGGGCAGCTGGGGCGTCTACACGCCGAGCTTTTTGGCCAACAAGACAACGTGGTGTATGCATCGAGCCCATCCTAGTATAGCCCGATGTGCTCCACTTTGACGGCTGTGCATCGCCGACTTCGCCAGTGCATCGCCGACGTCGCCAGGAGGAGGAGGAGCGAGGAGAAGCGAGGAGGAGGAGGAGGAGGAGGAAGAGCGAGGAGGAGCGAGGAGGAGGAGGAGGAGGAGCGAGGAGAAGGAGGAGCGAGGAGGAGGTGAGGAGGAGGAGGAAGGAGGAGGAGGATCGAAGGAGGAGAGGAGGAGGGGAGGAGGAGGAGGAGGAGGAGAGCGAGGAGCGAGGAGTGAGGAAGAGAGGAGGAGAGGGGAGAGGAGAGGAGGGGGAGAGGATGAGGAGCGAGGAGCGAGGAGCGAGGAGCGAGGAGCGAGGAGAGCGAGGAGGAGGAGGATGAGGAGGAGGAGGGATGAGGAGGAGAGAGGAGGAGGGATGGAGAGAAGCGAGCTGATGAGAGGAGGAGGGAGGAGGAGGAGGAGGAGGAGGAAGGCGAGGAGGAGCGAGGAGCGAGGAGGAGCGAGGAGGAGCGAAGAGGAGCGAGGAGGAGGAGGAGGATGAGGAGGAGGAGGAGGAGGAGGAGGAGGAGGAGGAGGAGGAGGAGGAGGGAGCGATGCACTTGCGATGCTGCGCGAACCTCCGACCCCATCTGCTCGGACCCCAGCCGGAAGGCCTCCAGGAGCGCAGCAGGGGGCACGGCCGCCCAAGACGGCGAGGCGCCTCGGAAAACCAGCAGACGAGGGCGGTTGCGAGTGTGAGTACCGCGGTTGCGAGTATTGTCTTTGGTGGAGCCCCTTGTGGGGCTACAGAACGTGTGAGCCGTGTGGCGAAACAGGCGCCACCCCACCACGTCGACGGCGCCTTTGGGGCCTTCGGTGGAGCTCCCCGTGAAGCCACGATGCGCGTGAGGGGTGTGCCGAAGCGGGCGTGACGCCACCATGTGAACGGTGCTTCTGGGGCCTTAGGCAGAGTTCCATTTGGACCACGACACGTGTCAGGGGTGTGCCGAAGCGGGCATGACGCGGCCATGTCGGTGTGCCGAGACGGGTGTGACGCTCACCTGTGGAAGGTACGCCTGGGGCCTTCGGTGGAGCTCCTTGTGGGACCACGGCGCGTGTGAGGGGTGCGCCGAAAAGGTTTTAACGCCCAAGTGTGGACGCCACGTCTGGGGCCTTCGGTGGAGCTCCTTGTGGGAACACGGCACGTGTGAGGGATGTGTCGGAAAGGTTTTGACGCCCACCTATGGACGGTACGTCTGGGTCCGTCGGTGGAGCTCCTTGTGGGGCCACGGAACGGGTTAGGGGTGTGCCGGAACGGGCGTGACGCGCACATGTGGACGGTGCCGCTGGCAGGCTTTGGGTGGGGCTCCGTATGGGGCCATGGAACATGCGAGGGGTGTGCCACAACGGGCGTGACGCCACCACGTGGACGGTGCCTCTGACGCCTTCGGTGGAGTTCCCTAGGGGCCACGACGCGTGCGAGGGGTGTGCCGACACGCGCATAGCGCCACCATGTGGACGGTGCGTCTGGCGCCTTCGGTGGAGCTCCCTAGGGGCGACGGATGGGAGGAGGGAGGAGTGCGGAGGCGGAATGGGAGACGCGGGGCGGTGTCTCTTCAAAACGAGGACTCGACACGACAGGATCGCTGGGAAAACCGAATCAGAATGAAAGGCCTGTCCCGGGAAGGTGTCCAGCACACTGGGGAGCCACGTCGTGAAAAGAATCATGACGGAGGATTCGTGTGTCCTCAGGTTCGGCATCCCCAGACCTCAGGCGTCGCGACTTTTTCACAGCGTGGCTTCTCCTCCTCCTCCTCCTCCTTCTCCTCCTCCTCCTCCTCCTCCTCCTTCTCCTCCTCCTCCTCCTCCTCCTCCTCCTCCTCCTCCTCCTCCTCCTCCACCTGCTCCTCCTCCTCCTCCTCCTCCTCCTCCTCCTCCTCCTCCTCCTCCTCCCCAGACGTCTGGACCCCCTCTCCTGGACGGGCTGTTTATCCTGCTCTTCTTTTTGGCGGCCCAGGGGCTTTGCGAAGGCCCATTTGTGCGAAAGTTGTCAACAAGAATCAGGAGGGAAAGAAACACCCAGACACAATTAATCGTCGACTCCCAGGAAAATATGGGAAAATATGAAAAAGTGGGGGGAAGACAAAAAACCAGGAAATTTTGGAAATCCTGTTAGTTGTGTCTATTTGTTTGTGTGTCCCTGGGCCCCTTCAAAGAAACATCTCCGTCGTGAGCTTTTCGCAGCCAGGCGATGCCCGCATCGGAGGCTGCGCGCGGGCGTCGTGGCGCTCGCGGCCGCCCCCTGCAGGAGTGCCAGCGCGATGAAGGAGTTCCTGTCGCTCGCGTGGTCTCGGGCTCGGCGGCCTCGTGCTCGCTTCTGTCTTTGCTGAGCCTTGGCATCGCTCGGACGTTCGCATGTTTCCTTCGGTGAGGACCATCGAGGAGCATCCTTGATCATGTGGCGAAAAAACCACGCACGAAACCGAACAAGAACACAGGGAATGGACGTCCGAGCGATGGCCAGGAGCCGCGGGCACCTGCTGCCGGTTGCGAGGCAGGAGGGAGGGAGGGAAGGGGGGGGGGAGAACCCGAAGGGAAACCCAGACCCCCTCGCGTCGAGAAAAATTACGGCGGCCCATTTCTTGAAGTTTCCCGTCCCCAGGGGGCCTCGCCAGGCTCGGGACCGTCAGAGAACGATTCACGGTCCCAGGGCATGGGTCGAGACCCCTGGAGGTCTGCGTTGTGAAAAGTCACGACGTCGGAGTTCTGGGGCCAGGGGGTCAAGGAGAAGGTGCCCACAAGCAGGCACGGAGCAGGGAGGAGAGGGGAGGGAGAGGAGGACAGGGGGTGGACGGGAGGGAACGAGCGCGACCCTTATATCTCAGGCCGGCGAGTGGGGAGGAATGCGAGGACAGTTTGCACCAATTAGCGGGGTGAGTGTTTTTTTGCATTGTGGTGTGAGAGTGCGTTGCGTGTTTGGTTGTTCTGCCCATCCAGGATCGATGGTGGGCATTATTCTAGGGTGTGGCATGGACTTTCAGTGACCGTACACCTTCGCATGCGTCCGTCGTGATTATGTTGAGCTTGGAGTGCAGACAGAAGAGGAGAGGAAAGGAGGTTGAATGAGGTCGCAGTCCGAAAAAATGGCGTGGGGTGAAAAGGAAGTGTCGTACCAAGCCGTGCGCCCCATGCTGAGATCTTGCGTCGGTGGAAGAGGGGAGGGAGAAGGATGATGAGAAGAAGCTCACGGAAGGGTTTCGGGGAGGCGGGCTGAATCATGGAAGGAGCAATATCATATTTCTGTGGTCCGCGTGGATCTCTCGGATCGGCGCTGGACCCTTTGATGGCGCCTCGGGTGCCACCTCTGGCGCGCTCCGCGCACCAGGGAGGGGGGGGGACTCGAGCGTCGATCCAAGAAATCATCACGGACCTCCGGAGCTTCACAGTATGTTTATGCTATGTTTTCGTTCTGGAAGCGGGGCCTGATAGGCATGCGTGTGGAGGGGGAGGGCGGATGGAGTGGGAAGAAGAAGAAGAAGAAGCAGCGGAGGGGAGTGGGAGGTAGGGAGACATGATAACCCTATGACCAGCGGAGGCTGATGCGCAGCTTGTGTAACAGACACCAACACAAGAGAAAATCAGGCACGATATGCCATGCAATATCATTGCGAACCAGGAGGGGAAGGAGACATGACCAAAGGGAGGCCCAGCCACGCTGGGAAATAGGAGGGGGCAGTAGGCAGGGATGGAGCAGGAGGGGCCGCGATGCGAAGTGGTTCGAGGCACCGGTACCGCCGATCGGTTCCCCTTGGCCGCCGCGGTCAGAGCGGGCGGGCAGCAGCCATTCCAAACGGGCGACGGGGAGCGTGTTTCAGAGGAGGGCGAGGTGAGACAACGGTGGTTGACTTTCGGGGGGGCTGGTGCGTTTGGACCCCGAGAGGGGTCCAGGGTTTCGATTTCTAGTTGCCGATGTATCAATTCGCCCTGGTCCGACTGTTGCGGCCGGCTCTGCGGCAGTTTGCGGCTCTTTCGCCTCGGGAGGCCCCCTGGGCACGCCGAGCCAGATAGTGCCGCTAGCCTGGCCGATCCATCGCTTCTCGGTCGGTGCCCTGGCGGTTGATCGGGACCTCGATCGGCGGGATGCCCTGCGCTCGTTCTGGACTCAGCTGGAGGCCCAGGGTGCGGCACCAGCACCAGCACCGGTGGCGTGCCTCCGCCGAGGGAAGAGGATCCCGGTCCGACATCGGTGACGTCATGCTCGGGCTTCTCGGGTGGCCGCAAGCTTGCCACAAGGCCAGGGATCATCTCCCCCCCCGGGTCGAGGCACCCCCCATGTGTGGGTGTTGGCGCGTGTCTTGGCATCGCTCGGACGTGTGTATTTTTTCTCGGCGAGGACCCCTGCGGAGCATCCTTGATGACGAAAAAGCCACGCACGAAACCGAGAAAAGCACAGGGAATGGACGCCCGAGCGATGGCCAGGTGTGGTGCCCACTGCCACTGCCAAGCCTCCCAGGCAAGACGTGGAAGCAAGGACCGCGTGGGGCTCGGGCCAGCCTCTGAGGTCTGTCGGGCCGCTCCTCAGGTCTTTAGGTCGCGGGACCTCCTCGTGGCCGAGGCTCGCCGTGGCCAGACGAGACCCCGCGCTGCTTCTTGGGCGCTCCCTGTGGCAGCGCGATGCCCGCATCGGGATGGCCGGGTCAGGGTCAGGTCCAGGGGGGCCGCATTTCTGGCTGAGAGTTGGACACGAGATTGAGCACGCGAGCCCTGGCGAAAGCGTCGTCTCCGCTAATTGCACCATCCGACGTTTGTTTTGGGCTCCTGGGGCTCACTTGGCGGATCGGCGCGACTCTCGTTCGAGTCCAGTTCGACGCAAGTGTCATTCAGGTTCGACTCGAGTTCGATCCAAGTTCGGCTCGAGTCGACGGGAGTTCGACGCAGCATCGACGCGTGAGTCATGAGTGGAGCGAGCGGTTCCAGGAAGGTCCCAGGAACGAGTATCCGACGCGATCCCTGGAGAAAACGTCGGCTCATGTCCATCGTGCTTGCGACGCTGCGGTCGGCGCTGCGGGGGGGCGCGCCCGGCTTCGGAGGGCACCAGCTGATGCACAGTGTACAGTGGGCGCTGGCCACAACATCGATCGATTGCAGTGACATGCAGTGGAAACCCATGCCAAGAAACACCCTGTTTGCCTCCAGGGTGTCCTGGGTTCTTGGTTTTCGATGGTTTCGCGATGGAAAGCGTGACGCTCCCACACCAAAAATCAATGGACGTCCTGGGGTCTCAGGGTTGGGTTTCTTGTGGAAGGTTTCTTGTGGTCGAGCTCCTACTGTAAGAGGTGCCGTGGCCGGCGTCTTGGAGGAGACCGCGCCGACGTGGGCCAGGTATGCGGCCCCACATGGGGCCCCAAAGACCCTCGTGTGTCCCCGGCCCTGCCCATGCGAACCACGCCGCCGTCGAGAAGTCATGCCCACGCACACGTGCTCGCCACCCACCAAACTACCCCAACCCAACCCGAAGGTCCTAATTAGCTCTCCATTCCCAGTGGGGGGGGGGTGTCGGGGAGCATTGAAGAAACAAATGCAGCCCGTCATTACCCCCTCCAACCCGAAATTCGGATCTTCGGCTTGGGTTGGGGTGGTCTGGCAGTTGTGCACGCGGTCAGCTTCCGCACGCCTGCGTGGGAGCGCGGTCGCTCGTGCAGGCGTGGTCGCGGAGAGCGTGCACGTACAGATCTGGGCGGACAAGCTCCGGGGGGTGATCCACCCATGCCCCGAGCGCCCACTGATCGCCGACAGCGGCCCGACAGCCCACCCCGCCCGGGACCACGGGGATTCGCCACCGGGGGCCTATGGGCCCATCGCCGATGCATCGGAGATGTGCCGCCGATGCCAGCCCGATGTCCCCAGACCCCCGACGTCGTGACCTTATCATGACATCGATCCCAAAAGGTCTCGAGTCACCTTTCTGGGTGAGACTGTCTTCTTGTATCACATCGGGCTTCTGTTCTGAGAACATTGTTTTCGTTCTTAGAACGTGTTTGGATTCTGAGAACACTTCGTGGTAGGACGATAGGAATGCCGGGACGGTCGGTCCCTGCTCAATCTGGCAGAACCTCTGCCGCAGAGGCCTGCAGGCCCCAGGAGGTCCCGTGATGAGCCAAGGGGGCACCTGGAGTCCTCCAAAAGTTATGCTGTTCCAGCCGACTTCAGCCTTGACCACCAGCAGGAACTTCGAGCACCAAGAAAGTACCGACACTGGGTGGTCTTCACGTGTCGGGCCCTGGGAGGCGATAAACTCGATCGACACTGTTTCGATACGTTTCTGGATGCTCGAACTTATTTCTGGGATGTGGACCTAGAGTACGATGGGAGCAACATGATCCAAAAGGCCGAGGAGGGCGCGAGAGGCGTCCCCGGAAGATTGGCCCGAAGAGGGGCCCGAAATGTCACACACACGTTCTTGTGGCGTGCGCTGCTTCAGCGCGTCCTGGCGCTCCAAGAGGTATGCCCTCGCGGGCGGCATCGCCGACGTCGTCGATGTGTCGCCCATGCACTGGCGATGCATTGGCGGCGCGGCTGCCCCATCTACTCGGACCCCAGCTGCAACGCCACCCTCGGCAGTCCGAAGGTGCCTGTCAGAACGCTTCCCCTGGGGCAGGCCGAAGGCCTCAGTGACCCTCACTTTGACACTCGAGCCTCGAATTGCGACGGCGACGGCAGCAGCGGCGGCGTTGTTCCGAGGCGGGACTTGATCCATAACAACCGCCTGGGGGATCGATCTTTTTGGACCTCCACAGGCGGTGGATATGGGCAGATTCGGGCCACCAGGGGCCAAAACATATCCATATCCACCGGCCGCTAGTGCACCAGGACGTCGGTTCCCAGGCGGTGGATATGGATGAATCCCGGCCTCGCAGTTGTGTCCTGTGCCAGAAGCCGCGAAATTTGGCTAGCACCCCGAGGTCGCCGGACTCGAAGCACATTGCGCTCAACAACCGTGCTGACCAGGCGGGCGCCCGAGGCAGTACACGCACGTGTCTCGACAGGGGTACTGCGCACCCAGACTTGCGACATCACCATGATTTGTTACATACCAAAAAAGCTTTTCCTCGATCCAGAGGCCTTTTTCGGGCCCCCAGGGCAAACGAAAACGACTCGGGATGACCAGTTTGCCTTCGGGAAGCGGTCAAGAGTGGCAGTTTCCTTGCCATGGGGGAGCATTGCTCGTGCCACCAGCACCGCACTTTGACGGTGTCAGTGCACCACTGCTGCTACGTTGTTGGGATTGGTGCCAGTCTTCGGCCGCCCGGAGGCATACAGCCATCACGCGTCAGTCGCCCATCCTCCCTCGACGTGCCGGCAGCAGCTGTCAGCCGCACCCGGGAGAGCATCCGCACTACTCCGCGGTGTGCGTGTGCACGTGAGCCGCCTGGCACCACGCAGCCGACTCCAGAGGCCCTGGCTGTGCTGGCACTGGCCTCTCTCGGGGGACCGAGCTCCATCTCCGCCGGCCTCCGCATGCGAGGCCTCCGCGGGCCGCCCGCCGGACGCCCGCTGGCCGTCCGCCTCCGCTGTCCGCCGCTGGCCGCCCGCCGGCCTCGGCCGCAGAGACGAGAGCTGAGGGCCCCATGTCTCGATCGGTGAGGCCATGTTCTGATGCGCCCGCGTCGGTGCTGTTTGGATTGACGGCCCGTCGCCGGCTTGCAGTGGGCACGGTGCGGCCATGTCTGCGCGGGTCGCGCTCGTCGAGCGGGCTGTGCTGCCATCGATGTCGCCCTCGTGGTGCTGATCGGTGGAGGTCGATCGTTGGCTTGACTGCGGACGGTGCATTCTCGCCGTCGGCGGCATTTGCCAGAAGTGAAACGGCGGCGGCTCCGACAGCACGTAAGTGGAAGCCGGCGGAGATTCGAGCGAGAAGCCCGCATTTTGGGATTCAGGGCTTCTCTAGGCCTCCTAGATGGGGTCGGAGCAGATGGTGCCGGAGGATCGTGCCGCATCGCCGATGCATCGGCGATACATCTCCGATGCGGCTCGATGTGGGGCCCACTTTTCTCCACGACGACGTTGCCGATGCATCGCCGACGTCGCCAGTGCATCGCCAGTGCATCGCCGATGCATCGGCGATGCATCGCCGACCGATGTATCGGCGATGCGGCGAGATCCGCCGACCCCATCTACTCGGACCCCATCTAGGAGGCCACCAGCTCCAGAGCCGGCGGATGAAGCTCGCCGGTGCCGCGGCACGGCCCCTCTCAGGGCCCTGGCCCGCCTGCGCTGCCCGCGCAGGGCCAGGCCATCAGACCGCCGGGAGCGCGCTCGCCCGCTGGCCCCTCGTCGTGCGTGGCCTCTCCCACGAGGAAGAGGAGAAGGAGGAGCACCAGGAGGAAGAGGGGGAGGAGAAAGAGGAGGAGGGGGGAGGAGGAGGAGGAGGAGGAGGAGGAGGAGGAGGAGGAGGAGGAGGAGAAAGAGGAGGAGGAGGAAGAGGAGGTGGAGGAGAATAATGGACACTGGAGGGAGGAGGCGCAGGAGGAGGAGAAGGAGGAGGAGGAAAAAGGTTGGGGGCCAGGGCGAGGGCGGCGGCCTTGCGAGAGGGCCAGGGTGAGGGTGGTGGGGTTCACTTCGCTCGGGAGCTCCCGAGCGAAGTGAACCCCACCCTCCCTCCCCCTCAGAAATCGTGGGGGGTAGGGGTAGGGTTCGCATGTGGCCCCCTGGCCCCCCGACCCTCCCCCCCCAGTCTCGGCGTCGCCCAAGCACACATTCGTACAGCATGCGCGCGTCGGCCCCTGGGGGCGACGCGCGCGCTCAGAAGCCGTGGTTTCTATGTTCAATGGCGGGCGCTCACGGACCATACCGCCTGGGCAGCGACAGCCCACAAATGTGTTGTGCTACATGCTCGGTGCGGGCGTGCGCTTCCAAAGGGGGCGCACAGTGTGAGCATTCAGGAGGGGAGAAGACACACAGACACAATGAATCGTCGATCCCCCAGAAAATATGGAAACATCTGGGAATTGGGCGGGAGGACACAAACCCAGAAAATCTAGCAGAATGTGGGGAACCCTTTTATTTGTGTGTATTTTTTGTTTGTCCTTGGGCCCCTTGAAGTATGTCCGGCTGCATCTGCGGCATCGCGTCCGGGTGGCGCTCCCGTGGCGCCGCCGGAGGCGGGGGCATGTGCGGCGCGGCGCGGCGACTGCAGACCCGGGGACACGCTGCTTGCCGCGCCGACGCTCTGATGCCCTGTTTTCTTGTCGCCGCTCTGAGGCTCCACCGCCTCCTCCCTCCTCTTCTCTGCCTAACTCAAGCTTCGCGCGGCCCGCTTAGCTTCGACCGGAAGAGGTGCGCTCTCGACCCGCGGATCAAACAACTGTTTTCTTGTCGCGGCGGCGGCGGTCGCTGACCGCGGGAGGGCCCAGGTCGGGCTGCGCAGCGGCGAGTGAACACCAAGAGGGCTGGGGCAGGCGAGGCCGGCCACGGAGGGGGGAGTGCGGGCAGGCGAGGCGCTGGAAGCATGTAGCCCTTCACGCCGACGTGGCGGCCCAGGACGCGCTGGTGCCTTTCGCGTGGAAGAGGTTCCTGCTAGATGGCAGTTTCTGCTCCGGGCGTCGCAGAGGGGCACTACACGCGGAGGGCAGCGCCTGCTTGGAATTGTACCCGGAGGGGAGGTGTGGCGCCTTCCTTGTCGCCTTCGCGTGCATCATGTCCTCCCCTGGGGCAGCACTCCTCTGCAGGGGCCCTGCCCTTGTTGCGCGACGTGTTCTGCGAGATGCTGTTGCCTCAGGGCATTGCATGCTGATGTCGAGAGTTTCCGCGATGCAGGCTAAATCATGTGCTAAACGACGTTTCCTGAAGGACTCGGACGGTGGCCATTCAATTGCGAAAGGTGCTCCAGGGTGGATCTGCGACGTTGCGACGAGGGGGCATTTCTCCGAGTCGAGTGCGCTCACAGTTGTGAGTCTCACGCAGGGTGCCTGTTGGAGGATCGTGGCACGTCGCCAGGGAATGCGCCTGGCTCGAAGGGTTTTGGCCTGAGCGTGGTATTGTTTTGTCATCTGGCCAGTGGTCTCGATTTCGAAGTATTGCCTTTTGACACTGCGGCTCGCATGGATGATATATGTGTTCACGTAGTTGGTGGTGCTCATATTGCCATTAATTGTGCGAGGATGTTTCGTTTATGATGGAGGTCTTGTTGTTGCGCCTGTCCTTGACATTGTTCATCCTCATATCCCCTCTCCTCATCCTCGTCCTCCTCATCCTGCTCCCTCGGAGGCCGCGATCGAATATGCTTCTCATCATGGTCGATCTCCCCCATTGACGTCTTCCTGGACCTTCTCTCGCTCCTCCTGCCCCCTCTCTCCCTCTCTTCCTTCCTCCTGCCATCCCTACTTCCTCTCCCTCCAGGTGTACATCTTGAATCTCCAGACAGCGGGCAGCCTGAAGCTGGGGGCCTCCAAGGACATGCAGATCGAGGTAAACCAGATGGTCTGGGGGCCCGAAGGCCAGCCCTTGCCACCCCCCATCCCCAAGAGTCTTCAAATCTCCCAAATGGAGGTCGCGACCTCCACTTAAAACACGGCTGTTATATGTCGGGTTGATGTTGCCATCAGTTGTTGTTGCTTTGTGTATGTCTGTGCCTTGTAGGTCCTCTCCATCTCCATCCCCAGGCATCCCCTTCTCCGATGCAACTCCACCCACTTCCCTTACCTCCCGCCAATTCCCGCGTGCCCCCCTTATCGCAACTCTTCGCTGCGCCCAGACATGCCTCCCCGCCTCGTTCTCCATCACTCCCACCGTGAGCACGAACTACGAGTAGGGTAAAAGGGAACCATGTTTTTGGAAAGTACGTGGCCCAATCTAACCCAAGCTGTTCGGCAGCACGCAAGAGGGCAAGGCTTCATTCGGGTGCCCCCAAGGGTGCACGTCGATAGACCCCCTAGGGCTTGCAGCATACAAGCTTGCGAGGCTTCGGAGTCGCCGCTTGGGCCGCAGGGGAAATTCGCACGGCGCCCTCGCCCCTCCTCCTCCTCTTCCTCCTCCTCCTCCTCCTCCACATTCCAGCTTCACTACTTATCATTCGACGCCAGCTTAGGAGCTTGATCACCGCAGGCATATGGTCAGAAATATTCGCCTGGCGTGGCGCACCGTCGGTTCTGCCCCACCACGCTTCGGCGCAACGCGCTAACCACTTCCCGATTCCCATGCGTCAACGTTCCGAGCCTTTCCCAGCCTCCCGCCTGGCGGAGCAGAGCGACACGCTACCAGCTTGCAAGGCATACCGTGTCGCCAGGGCCGTCCCCACGACACGCTTAGCAACAGTTTTTGGCCGTGCAACTCTTCGTTAGCGGCCTGTGTCCGTTGGGAGAAGGCAACCGGATTTCTGTAAGACCGGAACCAGCGCCAGGTGCATGTTCGGGAGCTCCTTGCGGGGGCCAGTTCCAGTTTAGCATTTGTGGGTCACCACCCCGTTGGCCCCACAGGGGGCGCAGCAAAATAAGGACAGTTCCTAGACCACCCTGCGTCGTGAACAGATCACGATGGAAGGTTTTTGCTGTTTTCGCCAGGCCCGGGGACTGGCAACAAAGCTGGTCGCAGGAAATGGGTCGAGACCTCAGGGGGTCCGCGATGTGAGCGTAGCACAACGTCTTGGGTCTTGGCTGGTCGAGCTCGGTTTGCGAAACATAACACCGCATTCTGCTGGGGCCCCTCCTTGAGCGGAGGAGGGTAGGAAACACAGGGGGCGAAGGTCTTGGTCGGGCCTTTGTGTCTCCGCACCTCCGTTTCCCCCGCTATCCCACCCCTCGAGCGCAGGAGAGCGGTGACAGTTCGCGATTATGTCACGAGCCACCTGGGCCCCAAGAGACACGGTAAACTGCCGCGGGTTGCACGCGTGGCAGGACCCAGGGAAGAGTTCATTATTGTGTTGGTTTTGCCTCATCGCCACCCCTCCGCTCCCCCCTCAGGATCGCATGAGCGTTGCGATAATGCGCGCGCCACCATTCTGCTGCACCCCCTGGGAACGCAGGCTTGTGGCGACCGCTACTACCCCTGGGAGCGCCCAGGTGTGCCAGGCAGTCTGCGCTGCGCGATTTCGCTGCACCGCCCAGCTTAGCGGGAAGGTGGCGACGGGTCCGCGCTTTGCAGCTCCACGGAGAGGCGAGGTCAAATGTTGGGCCTGCGTATGACCGCAATCCATGGGCCGCCCCATAGGCGCCGCGAAGTGCTGACAGTGTGCATGCAGCAGGCTCGCTGGACCGCCTGCGAGTGCGGGGACGGGGCGGCAGTCACGCTCTCGGTAACCTCCAAGAGAGCGAGGAATGACTTGGCCCTGGGTGCTCCGCTGTTGCCAAGGAGGGGCATGGAAGTGGTAACAGCTGTAACTTCGCGGGCCAAAGCCCAAAGAGCAGGTCTACTAAACCAGCGTACGGTCGAAGGACAGGAGTGATGGGACGGGGCTGGAGGGGAAGAGAGGAGGAGGAGGAGCGGAACGGCGAGTGCTCCTCCTCCCCATCCCTCCTCTCTTCCTCCTTTCGCTCCTCCGCCGCTCGGGGCCCCGGGGGAAGCGGCAGGCGCGCGGGCTGCCGGAGGCAGGCATTTCCCATAGCGCCGGCCACAGCACCTTCAGCAGCTATACCTCGGGCAGGTGTTTTTTTTTTTGCACGCAGCCTCAGCCTCCCGCGCTTGGGCTCCCTGCCCCGGGCCCCCGACGTCGTCCTTGCTTCGCAGCGCGGAGCCCTCGGGAAGTCGATCTCGACCCGTTCCCCCGGACCAGTTTTTCCTCTCGAGTCCATGCTTGACGGTCGCGGGGCCCTCTGAGGCCCCATACGCCCCAAACAGGCAAACTGCAGTCGAGTTGCTCCCATATCCTCAGGACGGGTTCTTGCTTTTACGCCGGCCGCGCCGACTCCTCACACCTCCCTCCTCCTCGTCCTCTTCTTCACTACTGAGTGTCAGTCTGAGTCACACTCAGGGTCGCCAGGTTATGATGAGATGATGGTGGCGATGTTATTATGACGATGGTGATCATGCTGATGATGGTGATGATGATGATGGTGATGAGGATGATGACGATGCTTATGATGATGACGATGATGATGATGATGACGATGACGGTGACGATTAAGATGATGTATGAGGATGGCGGCGCTGATGATGATGACGGAGATGATGATGATGATGGTGATGACGATTGTGATGATGATGGTGATGATGGTGATGCAGACCCTGGTGAGGATTACGATGATCAATTATGATGATATTGATGATGCCAATGCCGATGCTGCTGATGCTGATGATGATACGGATGATGAGGATGACGACGATGATGATGACGATGATAATGATGATGATGATGATGATGATGATGATGATGATGACAATGACAATGACAATGACAATGACAATGACGGTGGCGATGATGTCTGAGGATGATGGTGGTGATGATGATGACGAAGATGATGATGATGATGATGATGATGATGATGATGATGATGATGCTGATGATGATGATGATTATTATGATGAGGATGATGCTGATGATGATGCTGACTCTGATGAGGATGTTGATGATAATGACGAGGACGGCCACGATGACGATGATATATGATGATTGCGGCGATGATGACGATGACGAAGGTTACGATGATGCCGATGATGATGATGACGCTGATGATGATGAACATGATGCTGATGATGGTGATGCTGATGATGATGATGATGACGATGATGATGATGATGGTGATGATGATGATGATGATGATGATGATGATGACGGTGCTGACGGTGCTGATGAGGATGATGTTGATGATGTTGATGATGGCGATGGTGATGGTGATGATGCTGATGATGATGACGATGATGCTGATGCTGATGATGCTGATGATGATTATGATGGTGATGATGATGCTGATGATGATGATGATGATGACGATGATGATGATGATGATGATGATGATGATGATGATGATGATGATGATGATGATGATGACGACGGAGCAGGTTTTGAGGATGGTTCGGGCGAGGCGCTGGTGTTCGCATCCCCACCTGGGGGGGGGGGGCGCCAGGAGATTTTGCCCGGGCCCGTTCGCGCCTGGATTGCGGGGAGGTCTCGAGCGGTTTTCTTGATTGCGGGCCCAACATGTTCCGCGTTTGGAGCAGAGTTCGAGGTTGTCTTGGGCGAGGCTCCAGTTTGCGCACCCCATGGGGGCTATATTGCAAGGGTGTCTCGGGCGGTTTGCTTGGTTTGGTGGTCAGACTCGTCTGCGTTCAGACTCGGGTGAGGCGCTGGTTTCAGGATGTCTTGGGAGGATTGCTGGGGCGGATGTCTTGGGCGGATTGCTTGTTTTGGTGGCCAGACTCGCCTGCGTTCAGAGCAGAGTCCGAGGATGTCTCGAGCGAGGCGTTGGTTTCTCAAGGGGGAGCCGCTAGGGTGTTCTCACGGGCCCGTTCTCGTTCAGGTGGCGGGGTTGTCTCCTGCGGATTGCGTGTTTGGGCGCCCAGCATGATTTGTGTTCAGGGCAGATGGTGAGGATGTCTCAAGCGAGGCGCTGGTTTCAGCACTCCCCATGGGGGAGCCGTCAGGCTATGTGTCATTTCCCCGTTTGCGGCTTGTGTGGGGATGTCTCAGGCTGTGTGCGTGGTTGGTGGTCCAGGCCGCTCTCTTTTGAGAGCCCCATGGCCGCCGCGATAAAGCAATCGCATCATGCATGCAGGCGCCCCGAGGAGGAGCCGCCAGGGAGGAAGACACTTGCCAGGGAGGGGGAGGGAGGAGGGAGGACGGATGAGGAGGGAGGAGGAGGAGGAGGAGGACGCAGGTGTGAGGGGGACGGGTGACCGCCAGGGAGGAAGAGGAGCAGGAGGAGGAGGAGGAGGAGGAGGAGGAAGGACGGCTTAGGACGAAGAGGAACACAGGAGTAGAAGGCGACAGTTGTTTCGTTGCCGCCTTCTCTCCGTTGTCCTCGCGCCTGCTCTTTCTCAGGTTATTCATACTCAGAGTCGCCCACACTCATACTCAGACAATTCGGGCTCAGGTGCACTTGTACTAAGCTTAGTCAGACTCAGGCTCATACGCATAGACTCGCTCACATCAAGACTCACTCAGACTCGCTCGCGCGCAGGTCCACGCGCACCCAGACTCTCAGACTCAGCCCAGTCCTACCCAGACTCTCTCGTACCCAGACGCTCGCAGCGGAACGTGCCAGGTAACTAGATACACCCATTGGGATCTCCGCAAAAATTCATCTCCATGGTGCGAGGGTGGTCTGGGTCGGACTCGGGTGTCTCCGAATTATCCTTTGCCCGACCCCTGTCCCCATCAACATCCCCGTCCCAGTCCCGAGCCCCACCATCCCACCATCTCAGTTTTGGATATGCCATTCGAAACCCGAGGGGAACAGCCTATTTCCCCACCTAGGGGAGTAGATCGACCAGAGGACCCAAGGCAACGCCAGTGGGGATAGTTATCAGTTAAACGATGCTTGTCGGGCATCGTCGAGTTTGAGGTTGCAGCCTTTCTCAGGCCGCTGTGCGGCCCCTCAGGGGGTTCCTTTTCCTGAGGCGTGTTCGGCTCGGACGCGCTCTAAGTGACCCTCATACGCATCTTGTTCCTCTTCCTCCCGCCAGTCTCCACTCCGCTCCTCCTGCTCGCCTGTCCTCCCTCCCCTGTCCTCCTCCCACATCCATTTCGCTCCTCCTGAACCCCGTCGTCATCATCCCTTCCCTGTCCTCCTTCCCCTCTTTCTCCTCATCCTCACTTCTCCTTTCCCCCACGTCGCTCCGCCCCTTGCTTGGCATCTGGCCGTCGCCTCGAGTGCTCCGATCGTCGGGGCCTATCCTGACTCTTGGACGGAGCCTGTTTTTCTGTGCGTCGTGCTGGTTCCCTGGGAGGCGGTGCCTTCTTTCGGGTCCGCCCATCGACCAGGCCCCAGCCAGAGTGCACAAGTACGGAACGCGCCCAGCGCCGAGTCTGTGTCCAACGACCCTCCCACAACCTCCGTCCTCTTCCTCATCATCAGCAGTGTCCTCCATCCTCTTCATATTAGTATGATTATTGGTGTCCCCATTCCTTGGGCCGAATTCGTTCGGCGGTGCGGATCGTAAGCGCGCCTCGTCTCTGTCGTCGCCCTTGTCGTCAGCGTCGTCGTGGTCTTGGTGCTTTGGTATTCTGCTCGGGCTAGTTTCCCTTACGCCTGATGCAGTGGTCAATGACCAGCGGCCTTTCCTGCGCGAACGCAGCCTCCGATCTGGTCTGGGGCGCTTTCGAACGAGGACTTCGAGGCGGATCTGGCAGTGGGGGCAAGGGCCACCTGTGGAGGAGGCCGACGGAGTAAAACAAATCGACGCCCTTCCTCCCTCATCATCCCTCCTCCCCGAGTCTCACCTCCTTCCCGCTTCCTTCTCCTTCCCCCACCTTCTCATCATCATCCTTTCTCTTCCTTCCTTATCTCCCCACTCCTTGCCTCTGTCTGCGACATCCTGGAAATACCCCCCTGAATTCTTTCAGCACGGGGCCTGCATATCAATCCTTGCTCTCCTCCTTACCCTCTCCCTCTTCCTGCTCACCCCTCCCCTCCTGCCTCCTGTTTGCCCCTCCCTGATCCTCCGATCGCCCTTCCTTCGCTCTTCCGCCGGGCCTCCTTTTGCCTCGGCCAACCAGTCGATCGTGTCACGGCCCCTCCTCCCGCAGCGCCCCCGCGCCAGCCTCTCGTCGGACGGCTAGGCGCGGCTCGAGGCACGTCTCTCCTCTCGGAGGAGGGCCCGTGGGGACCACGGCGGCTCCCCCGGCCGGCCCAGGTCGTTCACCATTGGTCGGGCGTCTGGTAGAGGGTAGGGGGCGATCATCGCGGCGGGGATCGAGGGTTGCAGGCACGGGGTCCGAGCCTGGGCCCTAAAGGCCCCCCCCCCTGGGGCCACGAATGTGCGCGAAAGGTGCACCTTCTTGTTCCACCTCCTCCTGTTTCATGGAGCAGCGCCCGGATCGGTCACCAGACCCCGTCCTGACCCGATTTGCGGGGCGGCTCTAGCCGTGGCGACGAGGAGGCCCAGACAGGACAAACAACGCCAGAGGTGTCCGCCGCTGGCCCTCGTCCGACTTCTCTTCACCCTCCTCATCATTATAATCCTCCTCCTCCTCCTCCTCCTCCTCCTCCTCCTCCTTCTCCTTCTCACAATCAACATCATCTTCACCATCATCAGCACCGTCGTCATTATCATTATCCTCCTCCTCCTCCTCCTCCTGCTCCTCCTCCTCCTCATCATCATCATCATCATCAGCATCGTCCTCCTCATCAGTATCATCAGCAGCAGCAGCATCAGCTTCATGCCCCTCGTCGCCATGGGCCCCGGGAGCCTCGGGCATCAAATTCAAATCCAGTAGGGTTGGTCAGCACAGCTCATAATACCCTGTAGCGGAGTACGCGATTGTCGTCATCATCATTAGCAGCAACGTCATTTCTATCATGATCATGATGATCATTATCCTCATCATCATCATCAGCATCATCATCCGCATCATGAGAATCGTCATCATCGCCATCATCATCATCATCATCATCATCATCCTCATGATTTTCCTAATCATCATCGTCTTCCTCATCGTAATCAGTATCATCATTATTATCATCAACACCCTCATCATGAGAATCCGAATCATCATTATCATCATCATCATCATCATCATCATCATCATCATCATCATCAGCATCATCATCATCAACATCATCATCGATACCATCATCATCCTCCTCATCATCATCAGAAGCATCATGCCTCCTGGTCCCTCGCGCGGACCCCCCGGACCCGCTGCAGGTGAGACGCTCTGGGTCGCCACGGGCGGCATCCCCGGCAAGATCCACGTGCTGCCCGCGCCATCCCTCCGGACCGAGAGTTCCGTTGCGGTCGTCGCGCACCAGGAGCCGACGACAAAGGCGGCGGCGACGGCGACGTCGACAATTGGTAGGAGGCGAGGGGATGATGATGGTGAGGATGTTTATGATGATGCTGATGATGATGATGATGATGATGATGATGATGATGAGATGATGATGGTGATGATCAGGAGGAGGAAGAGGAGGACGATGATGATGATGAAGATCATGGTGACGATAACGATGACGCTGACGATGACGGTAACGATGAGGATGATCATGCGGATGATGATGATGTTGATATTGATGATGATGATGATGATGGTGGTGGTGGTCATCGCGATGTTGATGCTGAAGCTGATCCTGGTGCTGATGTCGATGCCGATGCTGCTGCCGATGATGATGATGGCGCAGATAGAGATGGTGATGATGCGTATAATGATGATCATGGCGATGATGACGATGATGGTGAGGATGATGTGTTCGATGCCGATGGTGTTCATGCTGTTGCTGCTGCTGATGCTGATGGTGATGTTGATGACAGTGATGATGATCATGATGATGAAGAGGATGATGATGATGATGGTCATTATAATGATGGTGATGGCGATACTGAGGCTGATGCTGATGTTGATGTTACTACTGATGTGTATGATGGTGATGATGATGCTGCTGATGATGATGATGATGGCGATGCTGCTGATGATGACGCTGACGATAAATGTGATGATGATGCTGGTGATGACGATGTTTATCACAACGGTGATGAAGATTATGGTGGTAAGACTGGCGATGATGATGATAATGATGATGATGATGATGAGGATGATGATGATGAGCATGATGATGTTTATGATGATGCTGATGCTGATGCTGATGCTGCGGATGATGATGATACGGCTGACGATGCTGATGATGATGGTGACGATGATGATGGTTATCATGATGATGGCGATGATGATGATGATGATGATGATGATGATGATGATGATGGTGACGATGATGCTGCTGCTGCTGATGCTGATGCTGATGCTGATGCTGATGCTAATTGCGATGATGATTATGATGATGATGTTGATAATGATGATGGCGATGGTGATGGTGGTGGTGATGATGCTGCTGATTATGGTCATGTTGCTTATGATGTGGATTATGATGTGTTTTCTGATCTTGGTTGGCCCTGGAAACGACAGGGTTTGCCGTTTTTTTGCCGGTTCCGTCGCCATTCTTTTACCGGTTCCCGCTCCGGTTCCAATCCTGGAGCCGTTTTAGTTGCCGTTTCCGACCACCGTTTTTTTGCCGTTTCCATTTTCAAGGGACACTTTTTCGGAAACGGTGAAAAAACGGCCCTGCCGTTTCCAGGGCCCACTAAGGTGCTGATGCTAATGCTGGTACCGATGTCGATGCTGATGCTCATAATGGTGATGCTGATGTTGCTGATGATGATGAATAGTAGGAGGAGGAGGAGGAGGAGGAGACGGAGGAGAAGGAGATGAAGGAGGAGAAGGAGGACGGGGTGACGGAGGTCGGCCACGCGCCAGCAGGCGTGGGATGGAGCGGGAGGGGGAGGATCAGCGGCAGTTGGAGATGGGGGGTAACGGCGAGGAGGAGGGAGGACGAAGGAGGAGGGTGGAGCAGGAGGAAGATGAGAAGGAGGAAGAAGAGGAAAGGGACGGATAGGGACGGAGGAGGGGGGACGGAGGGGGGTAAGGAGGATCAGTGGCAGGAGAAGATGGGAAGGAAGGGGAGGGGGAGGGAGGACGAACGAGAGGCGGAATGGGGAGGAGGTCAACGACGAGAATGCCGAAGAGTGGAGGGGGGGAGAAAGAGGAGGAGGAGAGATGGAAGACAAGGACGTCTAAAAGGAACACTAAGAGTGAGGATTGGGAGACTCAGGGATTGGGAGGAGATGCGGGAGGAGGAGGAGGAGGAGGAACAGGAGGAGGAAAAGGACAAGCGGCAGGAGGATATGTGGAGGAAGGGCATGGAAGAGGAAGGACGAGGGAGGAGGTTGGAGCAGGAGGAGGAGGAGGAAGAGGAGGGAGGGATGGAGGTCAGCCACGCGCCAAGAGGGGGGTCACTGGAGGCACTACTCAGACGACGTCTTTGCCCCAAACCGCAGAGAAGGAACAGGGAAGAGACCTCGTCGCCCGTGACCTGCTCAATCGAGACGAGGTGGTGAGTAGGGTGGCCGGGCCCCTGAGCCTTCAGCATTATTACAGGTTCCTCGGCCAGGCAACCACAGTCAACCCTGCCGAATCAAGTAACATGTGCAAGTGGGCTTGTTCCCCAGGGTGAGTGGACACGAGGCCACATGGGTTTTACGGACCTCACGGTCCCACCTCTCAACCACATGCACAACATCCCCGCGCCTGGTCCCCACCTCCAGTGCAACGGGCGCAGAACTGCCACATGCAGCAAGGCAATATGCCAAGCAGCTGGTGCTAACAAAAATTAGCCAGTTTCTCCTCTCCTTGCCTGCCGCGATGGGCAGCCCTGACAGTGCGCCCTCGAGGTAGGAAAAGCCGAATGCCAGGATAAGGAGCCCGGTACCCCCACGGGGCAGGCGCCAGGAGGGGGGCATGGAGGGGGATGAGGAGGACCAGTGGCAGGAGGAGATTGGCGGGAAGTGGAGGAGGAGGGAGGCCGAGGGAGAAGGGTGGAACAGCAGGCGTGAGGCGGGATGAGGAGGACGACGACCTGGAGGCGGAAGAGGGGAGGTGGGGAGGAAGAGGAGCAGTAGGAGGAGAGAGGGGAGGACGAGGAAGAGTAGAAGGAACAGGCAGAGTGAGGAGTGGGGGACAGGGGGATTCGGATGAGGGGCGGGCGGAGGAGGAGGCGGAGGAGCACAGAAATAAGTTGTTTCGACTTGTTACAATCAGATTATTTTCGATGTTCCAAACTGGTGCTCCCCCTGCAGCGTGGGCAGCATCTTCGGATCGGCGCTTTGCGTCCGTCATTCAGAATGGCGCTCTCGCCCCAGCGCGGGCCACTTTCTGAATCCCAATCATTTTTCATCCTTGTCGCCCCCCTCATGTCCCCTGCGCCTCCCCCTGGCCCTCCTGCTCCTCCCGCTCCTTCCACTCCAGCTTCTGCTGCTGCTGCTGCTGCTCGGCCGTGTCCTCCTCCGCCCTCCTGTGCTTCCTCCTGCTCATCCGCCAGCTCCTCCAATGGTCCCAGCTACATGTGTCCGATTGTGCAGAGTACGCTGGGGCCCTCGTTGGAGTTCCAGGTCCGCCAAGACACGCGTCGGCGGATACGTAGATAAAAAAAAACAGCGCAATGGGGAGGGATGGGTGGGTGGGACAGATATGGCGCGAGCGTGCCGAGCTTGACCTCCCCTCTCTTTCCCCTCTCTTCTTCCTCCATCTCCTCCTCATTCCCTCTCGTCCCTCCTCCCTCAACTTCCTCTCTACTATTTATCGCACCGCACGTACCGGCAACGTCATCAACGACACCGTTGACAACAACTACGCAGTGGAAAGCATTCCATTGGAGTGGTTGGTTGATCAACTTTGAGGGTAGCTCTTTGGGAGATGTTATAGTATCGGGAGCATAGCTCGCGCGCCGCTGCCTTGGGCTCAAGGCACGCGCGCCCGATTTGCCCGGATACCTGATGGTATTCGCTATTTGCATGGACATCTATTTGCCCGGACACTGCTTGTGTTCGCTATGTGCTGGAAAGATCATTACATCGATCTTATCCTATCTTACCCATCCACCCCTCATACTGTACCCTCACAGCAGAGCGATGGATGCTATTTGCCAGGCTATATGCCCTATTTGAGTTACCAGGCTCACTTTCGACTTGGTAGCGGAGCTGGCCGCACTCTCGTGTGGTCAGCTCTTGCTCTTCTCAGCCTCACATTCTTCGGCACGATCTTCGTGACCACCTACTACCCTGCGCCACCACTCCCAGTACATTTACGAGGATCTATTCAAGAGCAAGAAGCTACACGAGAGGTGCGACGTCTAGACGACCAGATTGGTACCATATACGCTTCATCATTGCGTTACTATCAACCGCTCGGCAACGAGCCAATAACGCAATACCTGAAGCAAGGGCGGGGAAACCCGCCAGACAGAGCGCCTCGAAGACTCGACAAGGCGCTACCCCAGCGCGACACCGCTCATCATAACCGTCCTTCGTTACACATTCTCGGGCTAATCGTTTTCGCTATCATATGGTTCGCGCTGGGGGCAGCAATCGCACACATGCGTCGGGGAGATAACAGCACCGATGGGCAAACACATGGCCCATATTGGGACCCTCAGGGTAATGTACCTTTTCGTGAGTACATTTACGAGGTCAACGCGTGGCTCAACGTTACAAGCGGACGTATGACGCCACAGGCCCAAGCGGCCGCAATACAACGCGGCCTGGGAGGCCTAGCGAGGACACTCGCCATGAGGGTACCGCCTGACATCATAAACTATGGTGCTGATATCGACGGGGTCCACACAGACCCAGTAACTTATATCATGTTTCTCCTCAGCATGAAATTCGAACGCCTGGAAGATGAGCGACAGCTCACTTCCGGCACACAACTCATTGACTTCCATGTGCCTCACGGGGAACGAATCGATGTTACTCTTACCCGATTCGAAATGGCCCGACTTGAGGCACAGTCGGTGGGATTCGACCTTCCCAACTTCCAACTGTTAACTACTATCCTATTCCGCGCCCTAGGCGTCGGCAACCAGAAGGCCATGCAACTCTTACAGCCACTCAATCACCAAATGCCTCGAACACAACAACAGTATGATGAGTTGCTGGAGAGGATGCGTTCGGTAGGCCACCTATCCGAACGGTCTCCTGGTAACATAGGATCTGTGTTTGGAAGGGGAAGGGGATCTGGTAGTGGAAATTTCTACACTACCTTGACCACTGAAGCCCAGCCTGGAAACGGGCCCTCAAGCATATGGGCCGATGACCCAGGAGAATCCACTGCTTTATTAGCAGGGGATCGATCACAACCAAGCTGGGCAACCAGCCCTCCTTCTAGAGAACCACAACCACACCGCTCGTTATGGGGGGAATCAAATC